TGCATCGGAATTGCGGCTCCCCGTCGGCATCTCCTTGAATTGCACTTTGCCGCCCGCATGCTGACGAACCCCATCGCCAGGCGATCAAATAATAATGCTTGCGTATTTCTTACTTTGGTATGCGGGTCGTTGTACAGGAGAGATAAGTGAGATATCGAAAATTAATGCAGGTATCACGTAATTATTAACAAACCTCGCAGCACGAGTTGTATATAAATTTTTACGAATTTCGATGGTGGCAAAATTGAGCAAGCAATTCGCGTCTCAAGCGTGCACAGCGTTATGTATACATAATCCTTCTACATGCACTGGATTAATTTCCCGCAAACAATGTACTAATATCATCCCCAGTGCTATGTGTTTGCTCTGCATCATAATTGCGTCCTTAATTGATATTGACTGCGGCACTCGTGCAGCAATTAATGCACATATACATAAATTTGGTCTAGGACGAAAATATATTAATAATAGAATTACGATACGTTTGATAGATGGATTGATTGATTGATCGCATTTCGATAACATGCATTTTAGTGTCGAGTGAGCGGCCTTAATTGGAGGATTGATTGGTACCAAGTGTAATTGGATTGATCAATTGAATTTGATTGGTGCCGGCCGCAGCTAGCAGATCAGTCCGCAGGGGGAAGCCATGGAAATTGAAACACTATCCATCCGTCTCTGTGTCTAATATCTGATGACAATTTCGACTGCTCTAGTGCGAGAACGCGCGATGCAATACGGGCGCTGGTAATGCGCTGAATTTCACCAAGCACGTACCGGCCCGAAGGGGACATGTCAAGTGTGCACTGTGGAAGCGTTGCGGCGAGCCGGGGGCGAGATTATCGGCGCTTCGGCCGATTGGGTTTGCGAATTTGATCAAAGCAATCAGCGGGGCTGTATATCGGAAGTTTGACGGGCGCGGCAGAGTTGCAGATGTGCTGAACAACTTTAATGGGAAAGTTTCCAGAAGGAATAAAATCGATATGCTTCAATCGGCAAAATATTCCATAAATCATTTATAATGATTTATGGCATTTTTTTTTTAACAATTTTGATTCAAATTATTAAATTGCAGGAATAAAAAAATTGATTCATAAAAACCTTCATAAATCAGCAGTTACGTAATTAATAATTATATTTTATTAAATTATCATTGTTGTTAGTTTGTCCGAAATGATATTTCACAATGTTTATATTGACACGTTGAAAAGAATTTCTTTGAAAAGAAATGAATTGTTGGACGAAACGGCCAGAATTTGGCAATTTTTTAAAACATTTTATATGAAATTAATCAATTGCAAATATCTTTGACGTAAAAGTATATATGAAAAGTGTAACGTGTTGCAAAACAAGCACCGCTCTGCTCTCGTTGTGCGTGAAATAGTGCACCGTTTGCTGGCGTGTCAGGTTGAGCAAAATGCAGCAGGCATCACTTGATCGCCTGCTAACGCGCTGATATTGTTTTTCTCGGAATAATTATAGCCTGACGCGCAATTAATACGCGAGCACTCTTTCACTCGGTTCACTCACTTAGACTTACACGCATGCAATTATTAGTATTTCACTTCTTCACGCACTCTTCTTGCAGTTTTTCTCCTCATCGGATTCGAAGCAACGCTACAAAGTTTTTATTCCATGTGCTCGCGTGGAGAAGAAATTATCAAATTATCAGCTGGTGGTGGGTGTTATTATTATTGTTTGTTTCTCTCTCTCGTTCATAGCCCAATAAAAAATATAAAAATAGTTATTGCCCCTCACGAGTTGATGATTTTTTCCCGCCGCAGCAACAACCCGGTCGGCCCCAATCAATAAAACAAACATGAAATTATTATAAAAAGCAACGACGGTCTATTCAATATTTTTCGAAGAAATCCAACTCGAGCAGGGAGGCGCATATTAAATTATATGGCTTTTTAATGCGCCACGCCAAGCACGCCAAATATATCGTATCGACGACGGCCTTTATGGCTGTGAATAGATATGAGCGGGCCTTAATTTTTCAATTTCCTAATTAGTGCCAACATGTTTATTGCGGCGATGAGAAAAAGTGCGCACGAATTCATGAAAATGAATTTTATCTCGGCTGTTATTAAAAATTTATTAAACGAAAATCAAGCGATGGAGCGAATTTTCCCAGAAATATAAAACAACTACCGAATCAGGTAGATTTTTATTATTCTCATTACTTAAATCCGTTTATTGGGCCGTCCTAAATTAAGCAATTTGTCCTCCTTTGATTTTTTTTAATGAATTTCCAACAAATTTTAATCATTACTCAATTTGGCACGTAATCAGCATTTTCTCCGGCGTCATGATCCAAATTAATTAGCACGAGGGGCGCTGCAGTGAGTGGCAATCTCGCAGGTGGCGGCCGGTCAGCTCTCCATGTATAGGCCCGGCCGTTTACACCTGCACCGCCAACGTCGGTATGTATAATAATGGTTCTTTTGAGGCACAAAGCAGCCTGTGTAGGGGCACATTAGTCGAAACTCGAGCTGCGAGCACGCACGGCCAGAGAGAGACAAGGACTATATCGGATGGGTTTTCGCCACTGATCTCCCCGAATGGGCATATCAGAAGGGAGATCGATAAGAACGGGATGTTATTAGTCCTTATGCTGATGTATAACGGCGGGGAGAGAGAGAGAGAGAGAAAGGTACAGAGAACGTGCGTGATGAGGGGACGTGTCATGTAAGAGCCGGCCGAGAATAAATGAGTGTAAAAGCAAACGGCCAGAGCAGAGAGGTCTGCATGGTCCGTCGTTCGAACCCTTTTGCACTGCATTTACAAATTCGAGATGAAGAGATTAGCCGGCAGCAGGAGGAGGAGGAGATTTTTCCAGGCGGAAAATTGAATTCGGCGGGCGCTGCTCTCGCCGATTGTAGAGAAGGGGCGCCTGGATATACATTATTATGAATTATTAATTAGCCGATCGTGATTTGCATTAATTGGGAGAGAGGTGAGAGAGAGAGATTCGCCGGCAGCTCTTATCTTGATTGGAAATTTTTCGGATTTACGGCCGATGGCTGAAATTAAGTCGTGAGAGCGCCCGTTCGGAATAGCAATTTCGATAGAGAGCCAGCCAGAGCAGAGAGCGGCGATAGGGTGCATGCCCGGAATTGATGAGTATCGGGTCTGTTACACATACATGAGAGAGGACGCCTCTTTAAAGATCACACAGCTTCATTATGAAGACTGTCGAGGCCAGAGACAGAATTTATGAATAGGAAATTTATTGAAAATCCGCCAAAATCTGTCAAATTCATCCGTTATTATTTCATTCCAAAATTCAATAGTTTTGGTTTAAAGTGAATTATAAATCAAAATTTTTAAAAATTTACTTTTAACTCGACAATAATTGATTGTAATTATTTCTTTTCAAGCTTATTCTAACCCTTTGCTAAGCAATATTGTGCAGACAAAGCCGCAAATTAATAAAAAAATATCATACTTTTTGGCCTCAATTTGAGTACTGGATAAATATTTGCACACGATAATCCTTTTAATGGATCAGACAGAGGCCGGGTGGTCGCGCATCAATTTTTCCATCAGCTCTCGGCCATCAATACATTCGTTTGGCAGCGCAGGGGGAGAAAATGAAATTATCCGTGGCGCGTACGGTTTTATTATTTGCCGTTTGAGTGACACGATTTTGCACTCTCTCAAAGCGAATAAATCACGGCCTTGTTGGTGCAGCCGAAAAATGTGCAAACATTTATTCGTTTTGTTTCCTACTTTTAATCTGTGTCACCGCTGCGTTTGCATAAAGTTCTCTCTCTTCAAAGAGAGATACGCCAATTAATTGACACAATCGCAGCGTCATCGAAATTGATATGGAATGAGAAAAATAAGTATAATGTTGTGATGAGCACACCACTTTTGCTGATATGACTGCCGTGTGGCCCCGCTTTCTCACAGACAAAACACGCCGTTGATTTATATTGTTTCCAAGTAGGAAAAGAATAAAAGATGGATCGCAGATAACAGAATTTCTAAATTTCGAGAACGGTTTGTTTGCATTCCGAGAGCAGATAAGACGTAATCTAATTCAGAGAAAGTTATAATTGCCAATTTCAATTCAGGAAGAGTTGGCTGCGTATTTGATTTAAAAATAAATAAAATCTAGAGAGATCATAAAACCGGCAGAGCGTGCGAAAAAAATGACAATTAAAGTAGCCGAGATGATCGTCATCTTAAGCGGAATGCCTTTGAAGTGGGTTGCCAACGCCGCTTTAAATTATCCGCAACTCGAGAATAAATAAATCAATCGGCGCCGTTCGCTGTGTGAAAAAAAAAATAAAAATAAAACGAGAGGGAGCGAAAGAAAGAAACAAAACCGAAAATTAATGCAATTAACGGCAGCGCGAATAAAGGCGATAAAAGTGCCAGGCGAGGGTTTGTGGCGTTGTTGACTGAATCGATGCTTGTAAATCAACATGTATATTGGAATTCACTCGAGCCACTTCCCATCCATCCATCCCGCGTGTGTGCTCCGCTGCTTTTCTCGCGTTTTCGCTCGTGCTTTTTCTCCCCGGTTCTCTTTTATTCGGCGCGCACATTTGCATGACAAACGCGCCACTGATTGCTGTTATGTGTGTGGATGTACCAACAAACTCAAACACACAACTCACCCTGTTTGGAAAATTATTTTGGCAGAGAAAAAAACGAAATGAAAAAAAATCACTTTTTTGCCTTTTTCTATGTAAGGAGCCAATAATAAATATATAGACAATAAAAGGAGCTTAAGTGCAACTAATTCATAGAAGGACGATTTTTCATAGATCTTTGTCAAATAATCTCTCCTTTCGTTAGAACTTGAGCGCCAGAAAATTACATGCAAATTTAATTAGATAAATAGAATAAAAATTAACAATTTTTTTTATTGTACGATTATTCCATGTAATTTATTTTTAATTTTCCTTAGTAGTTTTCTTCTTCTTTTAATTGATCTTGCAATATTTCATCCGCTTTTGATTAAAATTTTTCACATTTTGACTCACCTCTTTTTCTTTGGCTGCAATTTCCTGTTCGAAGCCCGGTCGGGCCCCGGACTCCCCCTGGCCGGGGTTGTTCTCGGAGGCCTCGCTGCTCGCCTGCTTGGCGGGCATGCTGGACGACGCGTGTGCCGACGAGGTCTTGTTGTTGTTGTCACCCTGGCCGGCCAACTGCTCCTTCAGGGCGGAAACTTCCTTTTCGGCGAGCGTCGCTCTCTGCAACAGTCAAACGACGAATGTGTTGAAAAATAATTTGCAAAACGGATCAAGTGCTGCAGGTAGGGACTAATGGATTTGATGAAAGCAGCGTCCCCTCCCCGCCGCGTGATGTAAAATAGAGAGGCTTTGTTATGGAATTTGGCGGAAAATGTCAATAAGCAGGCAAGCCAGAGGCGCCTGCTCCACTTTGCAATGGATTAAAAGCAATAAATTTAGTTTTGCTTTGCGATGAGAGAGTTTGTAAATTGCTTGTTATCACGAGAGTTTGCGATTTCGCTGAGTTTGAGATTTCCCAAAGCCTCTCGAAAAGTGGGACAGTCGCAAAAATTTAAACAGAATCACAAAAATAAAATTACTGAATTTTTTAATTTAAAAAATGGATGTGCTCAAAGCTTATGGCAGATATTGGTTTGAAGTTTGCCAAGCGTCGCTCCAAAGGCTCCAGCTGTGTGTTTTAGCGATTTTTTTTCGGCTTAGGACGCGGATCAGCCCATATTGGAAGCATCACCGGTGACACTAATGCGGCGGCTTGTTTAGAATTGCGTGTGCTTGCAAACAATTTCTAGCTCTCCCTTCTGATACATCCGGTTCATTGTCGCGAAAATAATAATCAAGTTATGACTGATCGCCGGCCGGCTGCGGAATAATAATCAAAGGGCACGCTCGTGTACCCCCGCTTGGGCTGCTGGGCTATGCAACACGCGGCGCACGCCCGTCCAGCTGGTCGCATACGCTGGCTTTGCGAGATGCATGATCAGTGATTGTAAATTTTTAATTGATCATTAATGAGCGAGGCCACGCTTGAATAAACGCCGCGAGAGAGTTGCTGGTAATTTACTCTTTCAACTCTCGTCGTCGTGATTTCGTTTGATTTCATGATGGATTTCATAAATAAATATTTTTTTAATAAATCGTATACACGATAGCAGAAGAGCCGTGTGCCGCTTTTTTCATGCACGGCCGGGTTTAAAAAATAATAAAGGAGGGTTTGCTCTCTCTCTGCATACTCGGATGGATGTGCAATCAATAAAATAATATCGGAATCGCGCTGATGAAAGGGTTCACGAGCAGAAAGGGAGAGACAGCACCACAGCCATTGCCGAGATGATAAAAAGCTTTTTGGAACATTTTTCATCTTTCTGTGTCAATGAGTTGTGATGATGAAAGTCAAAGGAATCCGCAGAAAAAAGTAAGTTCAGTCACATGGAAATCTAAGCTGCTGCCTTTGGATACATCGGCGCCAATGTCGTGGAAAAATGACCGACTTGTTGAAAAGATAAATACAAATTCAGAAGAGAGAAAGAAAGAAAGTGTTCGTGCGGAAACCGCAAAATATTTTTTATTTCACTAAAAATACATTTATATATATTGTGTGTTTGTGATCATATGAGTATTAATTGTTTCCGCTTGATAAAAGTTATCTATTGTGAATAACAGGAAATCAAGCTCGGTTTTGTACCACTTCTACTAATTGAGATAGGACGAGTTTGCTTTCTTCATAAATCGAGTTTCATCATCAAACCACCAGGAAAAATACTTGCAAACTAATCAGAAAAAAATAAAGAAATATTAATTAGGAAAGTGGTACATGAATCACACTGATCAAAAGAATGGATCATTCTTCGTCATTTCGTAGAAAAGCTAAAATTTTTTATGCCTCGCAGATCAAACGCAGCCAATATCGGCTGAGTTTCCTCGTGAGTCACCCAATTTTCCCCGATCTCTCTTCGGCAGTCGATTTTCTGTCTCCGCGCGCGCGACTCTCTCACTCATTCTGATTCATTCCATTCAATCGCTCGCTCTGCTGACGGTGGCAGCATCCATTACCTCTTCAGCCGGCAAATATTGGGTATATTCGTATATGTAGGCGGTGTGTGTGTGTTTTTTTTTTATTCAATCCGCCTCTCTCCCTTCTTTCTTTGTGCCTCGCCGTTGACTTTATTAATAATTTTAATATCTGCTGCCTGGCTTTTTCATTAGGGCGCCCCATCAGATATGGCAGAGAGACGCACGATATACACACAAAAAGGTAATTTTATTGGAATGAATGGATCGTGTGCCTGCACAAAGTATATAGATTTCCTCTAATTTAAAAGAGAGACAGACTCACTCCCTCCCGCCGTCGTCGCGTCTTTCGCTTCGGATTGATTCATTCGGCGCGTTTTATTTAATCATTATACAGCAGTGCCGCTTCTTCTTTTCACTCGGCATCGGTTATTGAATCCACCAGTCTACTCATCCATCGTCATTATTCAGCTCAGCAGTCTTGTTAGCCAGTGATAATGATAATTAATACACTGCTTTGTAGCCTCGAGGTGTGCTTCGGAAAATTCGAAAATTGGGGCGCGCACGAATCGGAGAAAAAAATTACACAAAAAAATCCACGTTATTATCCCTTCATTATCGGTCCTTTCATTCATCCGCTCTCTCCGGTATTTTTTCCCATTATGTGCAATATCGACGACGCGAGCTGTGGCTGCCTTTATTATGATTATTGCGATTTTGGAACGGGAGGCTTTTTTACACCGAAAAAAAAAATGTTACCCCCGCACACAGTCAGAGATAGCGTATTATTGCATATTGACTCTGAGGGTTCTTTTTTTTCTCTCACTGGAGTATTATGATTATTGGCGCACGCCTGCTGATAGGCTCTCTGGTTTTTCAAAGAATGTGCAATTGTGGCCGCTTTTTTGACGAGAAAAATGAAGAGAGAGAAAAATTTTAATAAAATTGAATGGGTGCGATAAAAGTTAAAAAAAACCTCGTGGGTTGATTTATTTATCAGCACCTGTGCGTGAAGTGCCAACTTTACAATATGCGTTAAAAAAACGTTTTCATAGGCTTTTTATGCGGGTAAAAAAAGCCAAAAGCGAAAAACATAATATAATATATTTCCTTTTGAATTTTTTTATGAGAGACTTCTTTGTTCATCTTTATAATTAGTTAGATTTTGAACTCTATTAATTTTAAGCGATTTAGTGCAAACATCTGCTAATGGTTTTGATACCCTTATATTTTTTCCATTAATATATTTTTTTTAGAATGACAACCATGTTAAATCTTTCAATGTCTCAATTATATTTTTCTCATACTTAATTTTTTTTATATATTTAATTTATTTTAACGTCTCTTGAACGTCTCTTTTAACGTACTAAAGGCGCCAGCCTGCCTTTTATCCCTTTTATACCTCAAATGCATTTTCTCCCTTAATTTAATAAAATTTAGCATCACGACGAGCTGCAAAAGCCATCGTCGGCAGCCATAACTCAACCCACCCCCGTATAGATTGCACCTTCTCCCCATCTCTGTGCGCTTTTATTTTCCAAACTCATCTGCATATAAAAATACTACTCAATATTTTATGGCCGCGTGCATCATCAGGGGGTGTCTATATATGCGAAAGCGTCTTCTCTCAAAAACAAAACGCGCTGCAAAAGAAGCCATTAGGGCCTGCAAAGGGGGTGGCACACAATACATTTTGATTTTTAATTCCACCCCCTTGACAGCTCTCGCTATCTCGCGGGTAATGAAAAGATATCGTAAAAATATGAAAAATTATCGCCCGGCTATGATCTGCAGTGAGAAAAGCTTTTAGGTTCGCTGCGATAAATTTTTCTTCTTCCTCAAATCTTTATAAAAATGAAATGTCACCGATTCCACGGTCCAAATATTCTGCTGAGAAGATCATTTCTCGTCAGGGTTCAGAAAGTCGGCCAGTGATAATAAAAATAAATATTTTTCACACGGCTAAAATCCTTTTTATTTATTTATTTTGCAGAGAGCGTTTAAGTGTGATTGTGGCCAGGCAGCGATGCTTGAACGCAACACGGATTTAATGATGATGACTGCAGAGCAAACATGCACCAAACATTTTCCTGCTCGATCTTTTTGCACTCGGGCGATGATGATGACATATTTTTTCCCATTATTCGCCGGCGACGAGTGACTGCTTAATGCATCTAATGATAACAGGAAAAGGAAACAGCCCGAACAAATAAAAAATAAAATAATCTATTCAGAAGAGAATCGCCGCTCATTTGCTTGTGTGCACGGTGCAAATTATATACATTCGTCGGTGTGCAACACAGTCGGAAATCAAAAAATAGTGCTAACTGAGGCTGAACGAGCGCGGCGTGCACAAGCGTTCGATAATGCAGTAATTGTGTTTCGTGAGCCGGGCGACACATCCGACGCTAAGCAGAATTAACCAATAAGTTCGCCGGACCCCCTGCATTCAAATCACCCAAGCCGTAAAAGGTTTTTAAGTAGAAAGAAGCCGCGCCACTGATTGTGATTACGTGTTTCGCGCCCAGAGCAATTATCTTTTTTGTTTAATTCAATTGCCGTGTGATGCGGGCGATGTGTGTTTTTTTCTAAATTATTTTTCTTTTTTAAATTCGGGGGAGAAGCTCTTCCGCGATTCGCGACCAACGATGTACGTATCGGGTCCAACAAGTGTTAAATAATTCTTGCCAACCGCCACGAAATAAATGATAAAGCCTGCGAGTGCGAACCAAATTATTTCAACACATGCACACAATAATTGCCGCCTTGGAACAATCTAATGTGTGGTTATAATTCCACGTTATTAGCCACTTTTTGGCTGGCCGGGCTACATTTTTCTCCACTCTCCTAACGACCGGATAATTGACTTAGCCGATGGTTTATTAATTTTTTGTTCCAAAACCGCACGGTGATAAAAAAAAATAGAACAATTGTTATTTAGTACAGTAAAAAGCGTAAAAAGCTTTACAAAATTAACTCAAATCAATATTGCACTGGATATTAAATGGGATTTAAAGAATTTTTTTTAATAAATTAGACGACAATAATAAATTCAATTCACTTTTAGATAATTTAAATGGATTAATTCTTAAATTTGCTCAATTTAAAAATTTATAAAAAGGAATTTTAAATTAAATTAACAAGAGGTATAAGTTCTTAAATTATCTCTTTTGAGAAGCAATTTATATACATGATAGATTTTTTAATCAGTG